AATTCAAGATACACGGCCGGTCTTGTTTCACCAAGGCACGACGATCAATGTATGCATAAGTCATGGAAATCAAACTTACGCCAAATTGAGAATGCTCCTGCTACCGTCAAGGATGCAATGATTGTCGAGAACATGTCGGTGGCCCCACGACATCGGTCCACCGTGCTCTCCAATGACAGTGCCATGCAACTCCAGAAACCAGTCCGGGCTGCCATCTTGAAACCTTCGCGAATACCCCCTTGCATCGCGTGATAGTTCTTGGTTTTATGATAGAGATACCACCCGGCTGTGGAGTCGGGCATTTTGTGAGCATGTTCGGCGCGGAATCGCAGCTGTGCGGTGTTGCCCCCCTGGGTGGCGCCCAGGGAAAAGCCGATGAAGGCCGAGACAACAGAGCCTGCTGTAATGCGGGTAGGCGACTCGAGAGAGAGACGGGGAATCGAATCGTGGGGGAACTTGGCCGGCGGTAGTGAGGACGAGGATGAGGAGCTGGACGGCGCTGCCACGTAAGGCCGGCTCGCACCGGCAGGATTCAGAAGACTGGCATTGGCCGGGTCCATTGCGAAAATGGAGTTGGTTGTGAGGGTGCGCAAGCGCCTTTGCTGTGGTGCAGATTTTCTGGTTGGGATTCGGGATTTACATGCCACCACATGATGCGACTGGAGTTGACCCATCTTCAATTTACACGACGGCACGTGACCTCGCGCGGCTCCTCCCTCCCCAAATTTGCTCCTCGTCGCGTGTCTGCCCCACCAAGAGCTAAATTCCCCTGCGGCCTACCACCAGACCAGACGAAATACCGCCCGTCGCAAACGCCCCAACTCTCCACAGTGTTAACTTAGACAGAGAAGAAGACATCCGAAGCAACGTGAGTCTAGCCCAGTCGAATGCTCTCCCCCACTCACCACATCTGTTCTACAGTTGCTGACCCCAGGCAGATGGACATCACTGATGGGCACATTTCTGTTCGGTTTAAGCATGGAGTCCATACCATCTACCTGTTCGTGGACACCCTAGAGCCCATTCAAAGCGTCGGCGAAGAGCTTCGATCCCTGCTGCGTGAACGATACCCCGACGGCCTCACTACGTCCATCGAGCAAGCCAAGACGACGCCGGTACCGAGCGAGGACGAAGATTTCACCATGGCGTATGCTGTCCTTGCAGTCCCCAACGATCCAACTAGAGGCTGGAAAAGACTGAAGTTCGGTGATGAGACCACGCCAGCTGGTAAGGCCGGCCTAAAAGACAATGGCATCGTCGCCTTCACCTTTCTTCAGTCCGAAGACGACGAGGCAGTGTTCGATGTGGAGTGGCCAGGCGAGGATGAGGAAATGTATGAATGAACCCCGCGCAATCACGCCCAGATCAGATCCTGCCACGATACTTGCGGTATGAGCCAGAGTGAGCCCGCCTAGTTCTTCACACTCGCCACGGATCTCTATCGTATTCCAAGTCCAGCGAAACAACTCCAGAGCTCCCACCATTTTGCGCTCAAGGCACAGACGTCAGTATTCGTTAACCTGTCAGGTTCAAACCAGAGATATCATTTAAATGGCGATGACTTTACGTGGGGATACGGCTGCCTTTTCGCCTTGTATGGGTTTCTTTAGATGTGGCGCTATGTTCAAACCCCATGATGATACGTAATAGACGGGTCAAACAAATAATGAATAATAGACAATTTTACGACATTCTATTTTCGCCTCGCTAAGGATTTTTTGGTAAAACCTTTCGTCTTCTCGAATGAACAAATTCACAATTGTAGTTGGGTGGACAGCGGAGAATACAGCTTGGAGAGTGTGGTTTACATATGTGTGATTCGCTCAAAGCGGCAGCCATCAGACCAGTCAGTCTGAACTCATACCAAGGCCCCAATGTTTAAACAAACAGCCGGGTTTCCTCGAACCACCACACCCTTAAAATATGCTTTCTTGGGCCACCAAACCACCAACGTGGATGCATGTCGTCTGATGACTAAGCATCCCCATCGCGAACGGAAATATCAATTTGGGAGGAAGATGCGACCTCCTGAACGGTGAAAGATGACAGTTGGCACGCACCATCCGTTCTGCATAATTTAGACACAGCCGTCGGGACAATCAGACTTGCTCGCGACTACTGCTACCCGATCACTTATGCGGTGAGCAAGCAGCCTGATTTTCCTGTCTCCTCGATGGCCGTCACTGGCGCGCTGCGAAAGAGCCTTGGCCTGCTCGTGCCCTTGGCCATAGCATGCACCGTCTACCTTTACCTCTTCCCCTTTTTCTCGGGATGTGCCTTTCCTCTACCCTCGAGGGACTCCGATGAGGCCTTTGAACAGACCAAGAGCCTGCATTGGCCGTACGCGCAACCAGACCAGCAGGCCAACGCCACGAGAAAATTAGCACCCTTCCGACTGCTCACAATCGGAGACCCTCAGCTCGAAGGCGACACCTCGATCCCGGTGAAGGTCTACGGCTACTTCCCACACGTCAAAGACATATACAAGCGTGTCACGTTCCAGACATGGCACTCGACGCTACGGGACCGTTTACGGATGATCCTCCACGATCTCGTCGATCTCTACTTCGAAGATATCCCGAACCTCATTGAGTCAGGGCGAAAAGTCTTTGACCTCTTCGGCAACGACTTCTACCTTGCGCATATCTATCGCACCGTCCACTGGTGGACGAAGCCAACGCACGTCACTGTTCTTGGCGACCTGCTCGGCAGCCAGTGGATCGACGACAACGAGTTCGAGCAACGAGGCGACCGGTTCTGGAACAGGGCCTTCAAGGGCGGCCAGCGACTACCCGACGATATAGCCCAGTGGCCCAATCGCGAGTACAACATCTCCGGTCGTCTCGATGGCTCGCCGGAGCAGGACGTGTGGATCAACAGGATTCTCAACGTCGCCGGCAATCACGATATTGGGTACGCCGGCGACTTGACCGAGGAGCGCATGGAGCGGTTCCAGAGGGTATTTGGAAAGGCCAACTACGAACTGCGATTTGAGCTGCCGATCACGGACCCGAAATACACTTCCACCGTCTACGATTCGGAAAAGAACCCCGACGCGCTGCGCATTGCCCCAGAGATCCGGATCATTGTCATCAACGACATGAACCTGGACACCCCGGCCAAGAGCAAGCCACTCCAGGATCAGACCTACGAGTTCATCAACGCTGTGATTACAAGCTCGCACGCGGTGGAATTCGAGGGTCACTTCACCCTGGTGTTGACGCACATCCCCATGTACAAGCCTGCTGGCGTTTGTGTGGACGCGCCCTTCTTCGACTTTCACTCCGACGGTGATGGCATCAAGGAGCAGTACCTCCTCAGCGAGGACGCCAGCAAGGGCTTCTGGGAGGGTATCTTCGGCGTCAGCGGCAACCCCATGGCCGCTGGAAAGGGTCGCGGCCGGCCTGGGCTGATTCTCAATGGACACGATCACGAGGGCTGCGACACGTACCATTACATTAACCAAACCAACGGCACAAGTGCCAAGGATCGGACATGGGAGATAAAGCGCTGGCCCGAGGCCAAGAAGCTCAACATTGTCGGCCAAGAAGGCATCCCTGGACGCCGGGAGCTTACCGTCCGCAGTATGATGGGCGACTTTGGCGGCAACACTGGCCTGCTCAGCATGTGGTTCAACCCAGAAACTTGGGAGTGGGAATACGAATTCGCCCAGTGCCCTCTTGGCAGGCAGTACCTCTGGTGGTTCGTGCACATCCTGGACTTTGGCGTTGTTCTCCTCATCTTAGCGTACGGCCTCGTCTCGATCCTCCAGGCTGCCGGCGTCGATGTGGACGGCATCCTCGGCTCCTTCTCGCGGTGGCTAATCAGCGTCGTCACTGAGCTGGCGTACGGGGAGCCGTCTTCTGCCGCCCCCGGCGGAAAGTTGAAGGGCAAGTTATGAAGAGAAGGGACGGGACTGGAGTTGTATAACTTGTGATTATTATCCCCAACTACATGCATAATGCCTCAGCGATCTATCATTTAATTTTGAATTATTTTCTTTTTGGACAGACATAGAAATATATTTTACACATACAATTTAGAAACATTGTTATCACTTGACTGTTTGGAAGGTTGCGTTTGTGAGCAATTCTGGCTGTTACCCTATATCAACATCACTCCAACATCACTCTAACATCACTCCAACATCGGAAAGCCCTGTTACGGCTGGATCATTGAAATAGCGTTGCAATCAATGGATGTCGCCAGAATCTCACATCATATTTCTCAGAGCATTCTGGTCTACTTTGATTATATTTTTCTGCGTTGTCGGGGTACAAGAGAGACAACAACGCGTCCATGGCCAAACATCAACCGAGACATGAATCTACTAGCGTATGATTTGTAACGTATTATCCGCGTAAATCTTCGCTAGCAAAGAGCGACTTGCTGTGGCGAGGGACCCTTGCGGCTTGTTTGCCTGCGAGCAGATGACGACGGCACGGAAAGAACTGAAATAGTCCCCGTAACATTATGTCATGAGCCAACCGGGCAGCTTCAAGATATTGTCTTAGGTGCGAGAGAGCTTCCCTGATTTACAGCGACGGAATGCCCGTTTGCCCATCTGAACAAACCCCGACGATGATGTTGGTTCTGTTTGTTGCTTGCTCGCCACCGCTTGAGGTGTGTCTGGGATGGAGTGAACTCTTCTTGGTTGGGTGAAAGCAGCGAGGGTAGCTTCTCTGTGCCTGTGGCATGGAGAGAACTGAGGCATTCATCATGGAAGCAGATCCCCTTCTCCGAAGAGATCTTGGATTGGATTGGCTGACAGCCCAGCTCAACGCTTCAACTCAACCGACAGTACGACATGATGTGAGATGTACGCGTCGTCCATGGAAGTCGGAAGCATTGCCAAATTGAATAATATAAGACCATTGACGCCCCTTCTTGGAGTTGCTATTTTCAGCGATCAATAATGGCCATCCCTCGCTCCAGCTCATATAATTCTTTTTCACCCTGGCTAGGCAAACAAACAAACACATATCTTCCAAAACACCACAATGAACCTCATCCAGGCGTTGATCTTGGGCTTCTTGCCCCAAAGTCTTGCCTTTGCTTATGGTGGAGGATTGCCCGGGCTGGGGAAGAGGCGTGCTCGAGTGCAGACCCGGCCTTGTGTGCAAGGCTGCGGGTGTATCTCTGACTTTGGGACCGTGGACGGGTAAGTTTATTGAGAGACAAGAGGCGAGGAATGATAAGAACTTACAGCTCGGACCTCGTTCAGATTTATAGACTGCATCAACGGAGTCCAGAGAGACGTGGACATGCGGCTGGCCCGAGAGAGCTCAGTGTCTATCACGACTCCCCAAACCACGCCCACTTCCACTTCCACTTCCACCAAGGCGAATAAGTGTAACGACAAAGGCGGTCCCTGCGACTGCGACTACATCCAAGATAAAAACAGTGATGAGTAGGAGAGCCCCCGAAGCATCTGGCCTGCAGTGGAAAGCTGGCTAACAGGCTCCTCAGATACAGGCAATGCCTCAACAATCCCGACTGCGAGCGCTGCTATTTCACGGCGACCTGGACACCAACAACTACACCGACCACCATCCAGAGCTCGTCGATCTCGCTGATCTCAATTACTATATCCATTCCCATCACAAAGACGCCAATACAACCGTCTTCATCTTCCTCGTCAACGACGTCGTCCTCCACATCCCACACAACCACTGGCGCCCCTCCACTACCCAACAACTGCTATATCGGGGGCCCCTGTGACTGCAGCTTGATCCCGGACAAGAAAAGCCCAGAGTGAGTACCCCTCTCTCGCTGTTAGCCCCAGAATGGACGAAAGAACTGATGCGTTGGCAGCTACATCCGCTGTATTTCGAACCCGGCCTGTGAGCACTGCTTCCTCAACAACGGTACCTTGACCACACGACCGAGCACGCTCATTACTCAACCAACAACTCTGGACCTCACGTCCATTTCTTCAACGGCGCAGGGAACGGCGTAGTGGCGGTGGCGGTGGTAATTGCTTTCGTAGTAGCTCGGGCTGGATGAGTATCGCTTCCGACGCGTGGATATGGGAGGACGAGACATCTGGGAGGTCTGACATTGGTAATATAGAACACAGCCGGACCTAGCACAGGTGACAGAAGATTTCACCACACACAATCATTCGGGATGACACCTGCCAGTCATCCGTCTGTTGGAAAAAACCTTGATTTTTGCTTTTTTGGTCATCTCGCCTAGAACAACTTTTTTGTGCCTCCCGCCGTGACATCGTACAGAGTGAATGATAATATACAATGATTTTGCGGACAAGCATCCAAAAGCCCAAGTCGTACACCTCCGCCTCTTCTCTCTCTCTCCTCCCTCTTCGTGATGCTTGTCGAGTTCTATGTGCCGAGTTCCCTGTACCGACATTAAATAATAATAAAACGAACGAGATGGTAAAGACATGTGCCCTCTATGTATCAGATTTTTCAACATGCGCCGCCCCCGTTCCTGACTCTCGTCGTTTGGTTTTCCCACATTATACAAGTAGTTATGAAATAGTCGGTAGAAGTGGAGAGATTCGTGTCTCGACTGGGAAGGACTCCCAGTCAAGATGTATATCGTTTGTAGCCGGGTTACTCCTTCTTGGGTTCCTCAGGCTTCTTGCCCATGAACATGCCGCCGAAGGAGCCGAACATGCTATCCATCATCTCCTTCTGGGCCTTCTCCATGGCCTCCTTCTCCTCCTTCAGCCACTGCTCGCCGTTCTCCCGGATCTGCTTCTCGAGCTCCTCGTAGTTGCGCTGTCCCCGCTCACGCGCAATGTCCTGGAGCATCTTGCCCTGGGCGAACGCTTGGCTGGGGTTGATCTCGCCCTCGGGGCCCATCGAGAGGTGCTTGGCGTCGAGTCCAAGCAGGCCACCCAACGCTCCGAAACCAGAGGGAACATGCTTCTTGTGTTTTTGAACGGCTTGTTGGGCCTCGAACTCTCTGCGGGCAATGGCCTCGCGACGGGCGAACTCGGTGGGGATGTGCTTGCCGTCAAAGGACTTGAGAATCTTGCGGACGTCGGTGTATTGCATGGTGTGGATATACTCGAGGAAGGGGATGAGACCAACTAGATCGGTATCGCTGGGGTCTCCCTTCCACGGCTTGAGGACAATGGCGTTCTCAGGTTGCTTGCGGACGTACTTGGAGTCGGTGTCAATGATGATGACCTTGGATAAGTCACGGTTGAGGTAAGAGAGGTCCTATTCTCGGTTAGAAATCGCCAATTGATGCGACTGGAGAGAGGTGTGTAAGTTGACTCACCTTGACGATTTCACCATTCTCAAACTTGGTGGCTTCACGCCACAGAGGCCACATGATGAATCGGAATGGGTCAAGCTTTCGGAGAACAGGCTCGCCCATACCGAAGGGAGTGGTGGTGAAGAGAACCAATTCGTAGTACTGGCTTAGGTAGCGGATGAAGTAGTCGAACCCAGGTCGCTTGGCAATGCGCCAACCGTGCTGTCGAGTCCATTCGGAGTGGATGAGCAGATCGTCGAGACTCAGAACCAATGTGTATGGGCGCTCGAAGCTTGGGTCGGGATCAGGAAGAAGCTTGTCGAATTCGGGATCTTGGTAGTATGACATAGACTCGGAGAGACGAGCCTTGGCGCGCTGCCACCATAGAGCGGGAGAGATGCCATTGGGAATGTCGGGGTGGCGCCTAACTTGGATTTCGTCTTCCCAGTCGCGGCCTTGGTAGAGCGCACTGGCGATGGAGCCACCTCCAGCTGTGAATAGCAGGAATCGGGTCCACCATCGTCGGTTACGGTCGCTGGTCGATACGTAGGAGTCGCGCTGGCCACCACCTCGCCTCTCATACTGTTCTTGGTCGACAGCCTGCAGGGCCGAGGTGACGGTATCCTTGGTGGAACCTCGCTTCTCATGTTCGAACGTAGAGGGAATACCCTGGGTCAAGTCGGGCAGCTTGTGGAATGGAATTGGCTCTTCCTCGGCAGGAGTCTCGGGGGCCTTGCTCGACTCGGAGGGTGTGGCTTGCGAGGATTCGGATTGGGAGGGCGTCGATTTGGAGTCGGCGGACTGGTCTGGTTTGCCACTTTGGTCGAGTGGGCTGTTATTTTTGTTCTGAGAGTAGGCTCGCAGCATTGGCGAGATGGCGAATGCGGGTCGCGCTCGGGCAATGGGCATAGCCCGAGTGGCAGCGAGGCGCAGGCTCGTGGCCTGAGCTAACCTGGGCAGCATGGCGCCGGTGGTGATCTGGTGATGGTGGGAGAGGATCGGAGGAGGAGAATTGAACAACAGCAGAGGGAGCGAAAAAGTCAAAATCGGTAGATGGACGGAGGGCCGTGTTGGATTATACAGACGGGGCAATCAAACACAGCATGGCCTGGTGTCGAGCTGCTGGGTGACGAAAGCGTTGCCGCCGTGTCGAGAAGTATTACAGTATGGGAAGGTTTTCAATTTCATCCAACTTCGAGCTTGTTCCATTCCGCACAGGCCCGTCAGTTCATTCATTCAGCTCTGGCATCACTCTGGTCCCACTGCCGCATTACATAAGGCAATTGAACCCACCTTGCGCCGGATCAAAGGTTTCTCCGGCAAGACCTCCACCATCTCCCCCACTTTGCTGGCACATGCTCACGTGCACCCCTGGCTTGCCGCTTGCTCGTCTCTGCCCCTCGTCCAGCCGAATCTCGGCGATGCATTGATTGGTCATAGCGGCGGCCTGTCAGTGGTCTGTGTCTATGTCGTTCCATCATCCTGGTCCATCAGAGCTAAAATCCGTCTGATACCTAGCATCGAAATCCGATATCCAAACGTCTCGGGCCTATCTCCGGTCGATTACCTCCCGCTTCTCTTCATTTCTACATTACTGTACGGTGAAGGGTCCACTAGTCCCTTCTCACACCTTAGCCCTTCCGACAACTTCCAAGATCGACTCACAGACAACCATGATGCCCGTCTGCGCCGCCGTTTAGAGGGTAGCTCTAGACCGACTCTGCGACCTCGCCATGGAACCGCCCTTTACACCGGCCCTGTCTCACGAGACCACCTGAAGCTCCCATCCGACCCTTCGCCGTTTTATATTCTTGCGCATTGCATTGTCTCTTGTCTGCACCGTAGCGTGTTGGCTTGATAGAGTCCTGAACTGGCAACAGTTTACAGCAAAATCGCCACCTTAGGCGCCCCCCAATATCCAGGAGGAAGCAATTCAGAGTACGACTACAACCATGGCTCGACGAACAGCTCGGAATACGGTTATGGTGCGACGGCCAACGACTTCACAGATACAGGCCATGACCGCAGCCAAGAATGCAACTCCGCCTCGCGATATCGATGCCGAAGTCAGTGGTCTGAACATCGCCTCCCTCACACTCGATACTCCCTTGATCCCATTTGTACCTAAACGACGGGTTCCAAAGACGCCGTTTCATTTCCTCTCCCTTCCCGCCGAGGTTCGGATTTCAATCTACGCACACTTCTTTGACGACGATGAGAATGTGGATGGCGACGTGCTCGATCTCGAACCAAGAAACTACCGACGTTTTCACAAGAAGCTGGCAATCATCCGCGTCTGCAGGCTAGTTCGCGAGGAAGCAACTCACTACTTCTACAGCACCCGAAGCTTCCGCATCTTCCCTATCTTCCCTGGCCGATACTTCAAAACAAAGCGACCACTTCTGGCCCGCCTGAAGCCCCATCAACGAGCGTGCCTCACTTCGATCCAACTGCGTGTCGGCCCAGGTTGGGGTGCACCCCCACGCGGATGGGTAGTGAATGATGCTCTTGGGTTGTCAGATTGCACCAACGTACATACCCTCTCAGTATATGTCGAGAACGACCCGAGCGACAGCATTTACAATGGCTTCCGACGTAACGAGGGATTCTACGAAGAATTCTGCCGCAAACTTCTGGGCAGTATCTTGGAAAGCATGCCGGCAATCACTGCCATCCAATTTGATGGACACCCTGGCGTGAAGAAGACTGGTGATATGATGAGGGGGCTTCTTGACCTCGCTCATACCTCCGGCAAGTCTGTGCTTTGGGGTCCTGCCCGGGGCTGGACCGATGCTGATGAGGAACCCGAGCTGCCTATGAAGAAGGCATCATGGGAAGAGATGAAACATCGGCAACAGAATAATGAACTTCCCACTTGGGCATGATGGAAGGACATATTTAGCACACTGGGTGCAAAGCAACATGATATCGGTTATGAAGCCTGGCAGAGTATCTTTTTACTCTTAGGCTAGGCGATTACACACTGTCATTGGACTCTATTCAATGCCCATGGCCACTAGCCTTTACGAAACCTTTACGATGTATCTAAATGATTAACTTGTTTTATGAGTGCCAAGAGTATATTTCTTAACCCACTGTCCTCATTTGATAATGTGCTTATCAGTGAAAGCCTACTTATCATCGTAGCGAGTTATGTCTTATATAAGAAGACTTCAGTTATGAGAACACCAATATTAGAACGTGGAATCAGTTCCTGTATCACTGAAAAGATGAATCTAGCTATTGCGAAGTTATAGATATGGGCCTGTAGTAAGCTACATTACACATTTGGTGTTTGACTTAAGAGCTTACATATACATATCTGCTTGTTGGATTGTATTCGTGAAGGACCTTACTCCATATGACCCTTTGCGATACTGCCGCTTCCGAATTAACTCAGAGAGACGACAGCTGTTTTTCCGACATGTCATTCCTTAAGAACACTACTAGGGTTCATTCCATCTTGGTAAAGCGAGAGAGAGAGAGAGAAAATGGGAAATGAGCCTTGGCCGGGATATTTCAGTTGCCGACACCCTATTTCAGTACTGGCTTACCTCTATGGACCTGCCAGCCGAATCAAGAACTACCTTACTTGTTTTAACCACTTTGGTAAATGAAGAGCCATAATTGCACTGAGACTAACAGAGGAATACTAGATGCCTCGCCCGAACGTCGACGTGGCAATGAATGGGGACGCTCTATGAAAGAATGATACCTCAGCTTATATGCGTCCCAATAACTCAATATCCTAAAATCCCCGAAGGAATTCAAGGTAATTTATCCAACTCCGGAACGGCTAAGCCTCAGGAACTCCCTGGGAATCCTCTTGCCAGTAGCAATTTGTAATCATTAACAACAGGTTCTCTTGGCTCACTCATGGAATGTCGGGCCAGATTCCTTTGTAGCCATCTCATTTAGCGGCTTTCGGAAGCAGCTCGCCGTGGCCCTTTTTCGATAAATGTGGGCGAGAGAGTCATTAAAGAAGCAGGTCCGATGACACCATAATATCACACCAATGAGCCCGCGAACGCTTCGCTGCCGTCTTGCGGGGGACCCCATGATTAAACAGGCTAAATCTGCTGTAGAGCATTGGCATCAAACTGCCATGTTGGATGTGAGGGAGCTATCGTAAGACCTCAATTGAGCTATTGGAATGTCACATGGGAGCAAAAAATATATATTGCTCAATATTGCAGCCGGGGGCGTCGGATCAAGACACAGATAATTCCGCCCGGGAAAATAAAATCCGTATTGTATCTTACCAGCTGGACTTCGTACTATAGCTTCAAGAACTATTTAAGCAGACATGCATGATCAATTAATTCGTCATGCAGATTCTGTACACGGCTAACGAGAGTCAAGATGAAAAGAAACGTGGCAGTTGCGTTTGCAGTAGCATTATGGCAAGGAGTAGCCGCCCAGTCTCCAGCATACGGTCAATGTAAGTATCGTTCAGTGTCTATTGACGCTAAATACTTCATATTGACTTAAGTAGGCGGTGGTAATAATTGGACTGGGCCAACAACCTGTGTATCTGGCTACTATTGCCAATTTCAGAATGAATGTAAGTTGAATGTCCAATATTGAATAGAGACGCCAGATACTAAAGGAGCAGGGTACTCGCAATGCGTACCAGGAACTGGGTCAACGACGAGTAGTACTCGTACAACTCTGTCTACCTCAACCACGTCAGCTACATCTACCAGGACCAGCTCTCAGCCTGGAACTACGAGCACCTCGGGTGCCTGCACTGGCACGTTTACTCCTGTTTCTGCCAGCAGTTATGTTGCCTCCCTTGGCGTCGGGTGGAACCTCGGAAACAGCCTCGATGCAACACCGAACGAGGATTCGTGGAATAATCCTCCAGTGGTAGAGGGGGTCTTTGACTATGTCGTTTCAGAAGGCTTCAAGACTGTCAGAATACCTGGTAAGTAGTTGATTGGGGAAACTTGAATAACGAAACAAAGCTAATAAAATCAGTGACATATACGCACCATCTCGATAGCGAGTCTCCTAATTGGACGATCAATGCCAATTGGCTCCAAAGAGTCGAGAATGTGATTGACATGGCCCTTGCAAGAAACTTATACGTTATCACCAATCTTCACCATGGTACGGGTCCTTAGCTCCACCTTTCAATTTGGTTTCTAACTATGAATAGACTCTTGGGAGTGGGCAGACGTTACAGCTTCAGGGGCCGATATAACCGCAATCCAGAGCCGCTTCAAGGCAGTTTGGACCCAGGTGGCGACAAAGTTGCGTTGTAAATCTTCGCGCTTATCATTTGAGGCCATCAACGAGCCGCCTGCTACTACAGCCGCTCATGGTGCCCTTATCAACCAATTCAACCAGATCTTCAATGACGCGGTTGTTGCGACTGGCGGCTTCAACCCTCAGCGCGTTTTGCAGTTTGTGGGCGGAGGCATGGATGGTACCAAGACGACTCAGTGGTTCCAGGCACCTTCAGGCGTTAACAACCCGTGGGCGCTACAGTTCCATTATTATTCTCCATGTGAGTCACTCGTTTTATTATTCATCTACTAGGTAGGATGTTGACCCATTATAGATGACTTCGTCTTTGGGGCCTGGGGCAAGACCATCTGGGGATCTACTGACGACAAGACCACAATGACCAACGAGTTCTCCATTGTGCGCAACAATTTCACCAATATCCCGCTGATTCTTGGTGAGTTCGACGTGAGTGTTGTGCACACCGAGCCCGCCGCGCGATGGAAGTGGTTCGATCACTTGGCAACTACCATAAAATCCCTTAGTATTGCCCCTATCGTTTGGGACAACGGTCTTGACCACCTTGACCGCAACACGGGTATCTGGCGCGACCCCGTTTCCATCGCTATCCTGAAAGCCGCCCTTGCTGGTCAGAAAAACTCTTTGCCAGACAGCACAACAGACGCCAGTGCTACGACCCAGTCCAGCTCGGCCTTCATTTGGAACAAGGTCGGCAGCGAGGTCGCCGACTACAAGCTGCCTTGGCTGTTCAACGGCAACACCCTCACAGGGGTCAAAACAAATAGCGGCAAGGCTCTTTCCAGTGGGGTTGACTACACAACCGCCTCCGACTCCATCACATTTACAAAGAGCTTCTTGTCGCAGTACCTCGGACCCAGTGTGTCAACAGGAAGCAAGGCGAACCTCACATTGACATTCTCAGCCGGGGCGTTCTCCAACGTTGAAATCATTCAGTGGAATACACCAGCGTTCCTTTCGACCCCATCACCAGTTCTGGGCCAAGATTTGAGTATCCCCATCAACTACAATGGTCTCAAGCTGGTCGCGGCTGTGAGAGCAAAGGCTACAGACGGGACATATCTGTTTGATGACTGGACGCAGTGGCTTGGTCCCCTTCAGCAGGCACGAATCGTGAGTATTATCCGCCCCCACCAACCAAATAGACGGAGGACACTAACATGTTTTGATACTAGACATACAACGGCCAATTCTTCTTTGATGGGGCCCAGGTGGTTCTTAAAGATGCTACACTCCAAGCTGTCAAGAGCTTGGGTAAGCCGGTAGAGTTTTTGTTCGAGTTTTACCCTCGGGTTGATGGCAACTCTATTTCGTACACGTTGACTCTGTAGCCTCGATAAGTTATCTTGGCTAGGAGTTGATAGATCAGGTTTAAGCCCGATGTTCTCATAGTATTTCGAATTCATTCAGTCTTATTGTACCACACCCGGAAAAAGGGGGTTCAATCGCACTAATTCCTGCGATAAATTAACTGTATAGCCTGTCACTAACACTAGCAAAACTAGCATAATGAAATGGTCATGTGTAAGTGGCCACGAGATGTGAAAATCCCCTAAACCTGGTAGAACATCAAGGAACTATCATATTCCCCCCCAACATGAATGATGTGCTCGCCCCGGTTAGGGTTTTCGTATGGCGGCATCGTTTCAAACTCTGGCAGCGTCATATAATGCCCTGACACATAGAGCAATAATCTCTCCCCGGCATCAAATATCATCCCAGTTGGCCACAATTGTATCTCGAGCCGAACTACATTGCCAGGTGCAACGGGCTCGACTTGGCTGTGCGACAGGGTTCTCCAAGATCTGCTCCTGCTAGACAGGGCTTCAGAAACGTGGCGTCTTGATGCACGAAGCATTCCTGTAGGTCCCAAATACTTCATCACGTTGGTATTTGGCACATCCGTGACTGTCGAAACCCCAATGTCCTTCAACGGAATGTTGGCGTAGGCTAGCACTTCTCCGTTTTTATCTGCTTTGCGCAGCTGGACATGTACATCCATGTCATTACTACTTGGAGAAGAAACGTAAAGGATAGCTGTCGACGGTCCTGCGAGCCTGGTTTGTTGAAGAAAAGTATAGGAGAAAAATGGATCATCAGGGTCGGGTCCCATCAACTTGGATGGGGCGTCTGCTTGATAAGTAACCTGACCCGGCTCGGACGCCTTCGTCGACAATAACTTTCGATCGGCTAATAGGAAAAGGCGGTTTTCCGTTGCGCTGGAAAGGTTCCATGGAAGGTCAGTGAATGGCACATTGACTTCGGAGTCTTTGTTGAAGCAGATAAAGGCGTATCGGACACGAGGCGTATTCTCCCAGCCGTTATCAATTCCCTTCAAATATCGATCCATAAATTTCTGAAGGTCATCTGTGCGCTCCTTGGTATAGAGGTCATACCACTCTTGGGTCGCATGAACTGATATCCTACTCAAGAGTTAGTGACGAATAGTGCCAAAGAATTGAAAGTACGCGTTTATACCATTTATCCTTGGATGCCATCTCTTCAAAACCGCGGAAAGAACCAACAGTGTGTAGGCCCGTTGAATAGCTTGCGACAATGTAGCTAGGTACCTTTATGTCCTCCATCTTTGCGCGCCTGTCGTCCCAATACTCGTTGT